CTTACTACCACTTGATTGCTTTCGCAGTAGTTTTCGTTAGTCATTCCACCAGCTATTATTGAAATCATTGTAAGTATCCGCAGCGCTTTTAATTTAGTCTTGACAACTGGCTTTATTTTTTAGCCTTGGGGCCGTTTTTTCTCGTCCACTGCCAAGATCTCTGGCATCACAAAGTTCGAAATTCTGTATTTATCAACATTGCATTTGAAAGGAGTCAATTGTTATTCATGGCGATGCGAGTAAGGCTCTTAGCTAGTTTGATAATTATGTGTGAATTCGATGCATTTGAGTTGCAGCCATTCCATCTAGACCCTGGATCACTCATTCTGTAAATGCCCTCTAGCCGAGACCTGGCAAAACAATGTTGAGTCGAAAGGACGCGTTACAGAGGCAAAAAATTAGCCTCTTTACAGTCCTGACACAAATCCTAGTAACATCTAACAGCGGTTGCCGCCTTAAGCACTAGCAATGATTGTCCTTGTATGTGTTCACTCAAAGTATTGAATTGTACTTTTTCAATCTCACATACATGAAGTAGCTGGGAGATGCATTTACTGTGTGGAGTGTGTCACGACAGCAATTTGAAAGACACTGATCTGAATTTGCTAACCACCTTATCAACTGTCTTTTAAATTTCACACTCAACTTCAACTCATGCTTTGAATTTGAGGCACCACAGTCAGCCTCGTTCAAAAAACCCACCCGGTTTGCCCTTTACCTTTCCTTTTACTTGGTCCGTTCAAGATAATTTCATTGGTCAATTGTTTAATGAGATAAGAGAAATGAAATCGAATAGGGAATGTTGGACATTTGTCCCCCTTTTTCTTGTTTACTCAAATCCGAGATTTACGGCCTCACAATTCGACACATCTCCTATTTCCTGTGATACTTTGTAAGGACCACATCTGCATGCTTGAGACTGAAAATATCTGTGCAAACTAGAGTGTTTGTCAACACCATTGACTCTAACTCTTCACCTGAACAACACTTATCCCACCAACTGTTTATTGTGTCAAAGTCCAGACTCCATTTGGGGATTGGTCAGACTCGAAATCACACCAGGACTTCAACGCCATGAGGGAATTCGGCAAAGACACTGGCAACATGAGTGACTGGTTGACCGATGAGTTCACTGCAGGTGCTCTGGTAGCCATTGCCAACGCCACAAGATACAATGATAAGGCAAAGGATATCGCCATTTCAATAAAGGCTCAAATGGAAGACCATTTTGATGGACCCTGGCAAGTCATTGTGGGAACTGACTTTGCAAGGTGAGGCTATGCAACTCATTCAAAGTGGTGATCCTTGCAGATCTCCATTTCTTATAATTAGATTCCTTACTTAATTAGGATGCTGCAATTTGTTCCGAAAACTTATGTAAACATGCTATTTGGCAAAAAAAGCTCATTTTTTTTCATTTGCAGTGCGATTACGGTGGATAATGAAAAATTCTTCTATGCAAAAAAGAATGACTTCACAATCCACATCTTTAAAGTTGGATGAAGTTGGCGTGTGCATTGTTTAAATGGATGATGCCTTTGTTTCACAAATATAAACATCGTTTCCTAGACTCTGCCTGAC